TCTTTTTGTATCCAAATCCATCTTTAAACTTCTCCACAACAGTATCTCGGACCTGCCTGGTGTGTTCCTTGGTCTTCATGATGCTCACTGCGCTTTGAACAGAACCCTGAGACTATCACAGAGCAGGTGCATTTATACAGAGACTTGATTGCACACAGATGGATTCTATTTATCATCATCAGTCATTTGGGACAACATTGGATCATTCATAGATCCTCACTGAACTTCTGGAGTGAGTTTGCTGCACTGAAAGTAAAGGGGCCCAATAATATTGCACGCCCCACTTTTCAGTTTTTTATTTGTTAAAAAAGTTTGACACATCCAATAAATTTCATTCCACTTCACGATTGTGTCCCACTTGTTGTTGATTCTTCACAAAAAATTAAAATTTTATATCTTTATGTTTGAAGCCTAAAATGTGGCAAACGGCTGAAAAGTTCAAGGGGTACGAATACTTTCACAAGGCACTGTATGTTATGCACAGGCAGACAACATATTAATTAAATGACTTCTGAAGGCGATTAGTTTCAGATTTCAAGTTTTTATTTGTAAAATGTTTTGAAAGACATGACATTTTCATTCCACTTCACAATTATGTCCAACTTTATGTTGATCCATCGCACAAAATCCATTCAAATACTTTGAAGTTTGTGGTTGTGACATGACAAAATGTGGAAGATTAAGGGGTGTGAATACTTTTTCTAGGCACTGTAGATACTGTTAACACTGTTACCCATTACAGCAAGCAAAAAAAAAAAAAAAAACAGATTGTGTCCCCAACATGTCCCTATAACTGAACTGCAGGCTCAGAGAGTGCAACACGGGGAGTGCAGACACAGATTTAGATTTGTGATTGTCCTCTCTGATGCACTCCATCCTCATCGAGCGCTGCAGCCAGGGTCCTGCCTGCACACAGACCATCAGATGAAGCTCTGGAAGTGGGACAGAGGCTATTTGGACAAGAATTAGGGGTGTGTTAAATTTCTGCATGCATGATCAATGGGGTTGAATGCAAGGGTTGGGGATGAGGGGGCAGCACACAGAAAGGGTGAGAGAAAGCTAGCAGTGAGCAATAGTTGACTAATGAGAGATGGACGGTGTGGATTGTGTCTCATTACTAATCAACGCCGCTTTGAGCTCTCCTGGAGAGGGAAAATGTGAGCTCTAATGCGTTCCTGCATGTGTTCCTTTTTGATAAACCCTGCTTGTGTGGTGCAGCATTAGTCACAGCGGTATCTGAGCTGCTGGAAGTCCACACACACTGCCCTCTGTCCGTTTGGGTGAGGAGTTTCCTCTGAATAGTACAATAGGTCTTAATTACAGGTCAGTGGCATGTATCAGGGAGATAGAGGGAGCTCTGTTACCCTTCCAAATACAGTATAATGCCATCTTCCCAAGGGTGAGGTAACAAGAGCTCGGCACAAAAAGGTGCTGATAGGCTGAACATGAGAACAGTAGAAGGTGATGGAGGCAGAGAAAGTGGGCATTTTAGACGAAAAGAGAAAGCTAGGAGATTCCATTAACTCGCAAAGGGCTTTTCCTCATTTAGTTTTACTTTCTTTCCTTTCCAGATCCAATCTAACTCATCGTTCCTGCCAACCGTCTTCGACAAAAACAAGAGGTGGATGGAAGGCAAAGCTGAATTAGAAAAAGAATCCAAATAAGAAAGAGTGCAGGCAAATAAAGTTAAACAGAAAACTTTAGTTTATCACCACCTGTTTTTACTGTTAAAATATGCTGATGGATTCGTGTATAAATGTTATAAGATGTAAAAATACTTTAGAAATGTACAGTGCATTACAGTTATTAGTTTTACAAGTGAGCTAATGAACTTGGCTGTTCATGCATCTAAATGTAAAGCTAATTCAGGAGAAGGGTGCAGTGAGATTTACTCTTTGTAACTTGGATACTTTTCAAAATATTTGACTTTAATTACTAAAAACAGTTCCCCAAAGAAATACATTATCTCTTCGATTTTTTTATTTTTTTCAAAAACATTCTCTTTAAAATCTGGTCCAGCAAACTTGCCTTAATTATGTCCTTTTTTTGCTACTTAAATTTTTTTGTGCTAATATTCTACTTTTAGGTTTTAGCTAGCATTTTGCCACTTTTAGCAAGCCTTCAGCTACTTTTAGTGATTAGCTACATTTAACTTATAGCTGCTTCTTTTAGCTCTAACAGCTCAGGTTCATCCATCCAGCTATCCATTTTCTGCTGCTTTTCCATGGTCAGGTTGGGAAGACAACAGGTCCAGCAGGGAAACCTGGATGTTTTGTTTTTTTTGTTTTGTTTTTTTTTAAAAAAGGAAACCTGGATGTTCCTCTCTTCCTGGGGAACCCCAAAATGTTTCTAAGACAAGAAGATATATAAGCTAGTCTAGGGGTCTGCTCTCAGGATATGACCGCAAAACTTTAAAGGAAGTCTAGGAGATACTAATCAGATGCTCAATTCACCTCAGCAGACTTCTTTCGATACAGAGGAAATGCTCCAAGCTTCACCTGAATGAGGGACCTCCTCACTCCATATGTACGGCTGAGTCCTGCCACCCAAAAGAGGAAACTCAAATCAGGTGTTTGTATTCTGGATCTCGTTCTTTTGTTCATGATTCATACCTCATGACCATAGGTGGGGTTTGGAACATAGACGGACCGATAAAAATAAACCTTTGCCTTTTGGCTCTACTGCTTCTTCACCACAGACTGGAGCAACATCCTCATTACTGTGTCTGAGGTCCAGCTCCATCATTTTTTCACTGGTTTATCATGTTACCCAGTTTATCACTGGGCTATTACCGGTTTTATCAGCACTTTGGCAATTACCTGTTGTTTTTAAATGTGTTTTATAAATAAATTTGACTTTGACTGGTGAACAAGACTTGGAGATACCCAGAAACCATCTGAGCGAGTTTGTTGCAGCTCCTGGGACTGATGAAGTCTTTTGGATGAAAGATGAAACGTTTCAACAAAAGAAACTGTCCAGAGGACCAGACAACTCTGCTGGAAGTTTTGGAGATACTTGAACTTCTCCAATTGAGGCAGAATCACACGCCCGACATCAACATAAACCAGGGCCATTAACTACATTGTTCAGGGGCCACAGTTACTGAAAGCGAAGAGCTCAGGGGCCGGACATCCAGCAGTTATTGTGATTAGTTAAATTTGTTTTACGGTTCAAAATCTAGTTTTATTTTAAAATGAACCCAATGGTGGGTCAAACTGAGCTCACTAGTGGGCCTGATTTGGTCCTGGGCCACCAGTTGAATATCTCTGAAATAAACTGAGGAGAAATTTACTTTTATTTGGATAATGCCCCCAAGTCAAAAATAAATTTATGTAATCCAGTAACAGGAAGAAAACGAGACTGTTCCTCAAATATTTCTTCTTTTTTTTTTTTATCAAAACAAGAACTATAATAGTGACAATTTTATAAAAAATTTCATTTTTATTTTAAGACTTTTGGGACACATACTAAACTGAACAAATTCAGTGATAGTGAATGGCTGTCTCTTTTGTCACCTGTCCAAGGTGTCCCCCACAGACATACAAACATAGAGGCCTCATTGAGCGCTGAATCGTATGTTGACGTCGCCGCCATATTGAATGTGGCAAAAATAACGTGATAGAAGATGATCCATCCATTATCTTTACCCGCTTATTCCATTTTGGGTCACGGGGGTCGCCGGTGCCCATGTCCAGCAATCACTGTGCGAGGGGCGGGGTACACCCTGGACGGGTCGCAAGTCCATCACAGGG